AAAAGTGTACCAACTATAATTATCCATAACTATGCAGGCCTGTTTTAATGCTGTTTTATAATTACAGGTCTTAATGCTAGATTATACAAAGTCATTTATAAATAGTCAGAACAGAGGGACTTTGGGAGTTTTTAACCTGTGGATTGCTGTGGGTTGTGGCAGCTGACGAGATTTTGCCTGTGTATATATGGGGTGAGCTGTGTAATGATTGATGAATCCCTTAATTAACTCCCAACAAGTTAAGATTTATGGCCTCATATCTTCTTCTCCTGACACATCTGTGTTTGTCACTTTTGAAGACATGGCTAAGCCATTTCTCCAAAAGCTTTTGTGGGTATCTGAAATGTTTCTGAGGTATTTTGTCTAATGTAACAAGATTAGAGTTTTATGACATAAAATTTATGAAATTTTATGGCATGAACAATTGCATTGGGAGGGATGCTGGTTGTGTGCTAGAGGGTACTATCTGCTTGAATACTGGATACCACTTTAGATTTATTTTGGGTATACAATCATGTATGAAATGAACCGAAACCAATGAACAAATGGAAATGTAGTGGGGGACACTTAAATGAGTTTCTGTTAAAAAATAATAACAATAAAAACATAGAGCTGCAGAAAAGATCACTTTTGTGAGACACTCAAGGGAAGAAGAAAAAAAAACAAACAAGCAAAATAGTCTTATTTAGTAGCCTGAAATTATTTGGATGGAACCAATACTTCTAGATGGCACGAGGAAACAATTCATGTGAAGGTAGTGTAGCTGTTATTCTCTCTCCAGTGGGAAAATCCAGCCATGCTGAAGTCAGTCCAAAACCACTGAGATCAATACGCACAGGGTATCAGTTTAAACCTACAAAGAGTCTGTTATAAATTGAAGGAGAGTAAAGAAATACGTGGAGAAACTATTGTAACATGAATCACATAAAATATTTGTTAGATAAGAGTGAGTTAGACGAGTGAGATTTTCCTTCCCTGAAAAAAAAACCCAAATATTTTTGCTACCAGGAAAAGCATTTATTTAATGAAAATTTAACAAAAGGCTTGTTTTTTCACTGCAATTTCTGCATGTTAAGAAGCCTTTCTGAAAACAGAAATAAGAGTCTCTTTACAGGAAACAGTGTCTTATTTGAATTCATCACCAGAACTAAGTCTTCAGTTCCATCCTAACCGCTGATAAAAATCAAGTGTGGGGATACATTTCACAATTCCAATGTGTCTGCACAGTGGGCTGGGTACCGCCTGTGTCCCACTGCGTCAGAACTTTGCAGATTTAGGTTGTCTAAAAAATGACTCCCTAGCTATTTTTATTCAGTAGAAATGATTAATGGCAGTTCAAAATGCAACTCTTCTTGCAAGTCTTAAGTTGCAACAGATTTCATCTGCAGTGACACCCTTTTACATTCACACTCTGGTCCTACGTATTGCTACTTTTCTGAGTTTCATCTTGGGGTTGTGTTGGATTTTCTTAATCATATCCATAAGTTCATGTTTGAGAAAACTGGTGTTTCCTCTTCCATTGTAAAGCTTCATTCAGAGTGGTGTAATTGAAAACCATTCTGAATTTAAACTAGTTTGGGGAAAAGATCTTGAAGTCATGTAAGTTGTAAACTGTTGTGTTATCACTGAGGCAAGATCCAGGATATTTGCAGTCCTTTGTTAAGATGAGATAATTCTAGTACTTCATTAGAACTAGATCTGTGTAAAAGAGCTCAGTTTCAGATAATTTTGTTACTCAGAATTTATCTGTTTCCCTTTCCTCATTGTTTAGAATGGGAACTCACATCTTAGATACAGAATTTGTGAAGACCTTGTATTAGCTCAGTAGGGTAATGAAGATAAATGAAAAGAACAGAATTCGGGGGGACATGGTATGGGAGCAGTTCAGATTCAGAAAATGGACCAGTGAACCTGTAGAAATGATGAAAGACCATCTGTGAATGAAGTTCCCTTGTATCATGTTTCCTACTTGTGAACCTATCAGAGATTTGATCCTTTGCTGCTGTAGTCTTTGGTAGTTACTGTCCTTTTGGAAGACATTTCCAGAAGTAGATACAGATTTATGAATTTATTTATTTAAATCTTCCAGGCTCTTATGGAAATTTCACAGATAGAGAGTAAGAAATTTCTGCAAAACTCTTGAGGTTTGTCCAACTCACGTTGACTATGGATAGAGTGCATCCATTTCTTTAAGTGTCCTGGTCACTTGGAAGACTAATGCAGATTAGAGCCTCAGTTTTGCTGCCTTAGCCATTTTAGTGAGTTGTTAGCCTCCCAGGATGGTGATGGCATGTGGCTTGTTCTTTAAACTGCATCTTCTAGAAGCAAAGGAAGAAGTTTCTTCTCTTAGTATCACTTTAGTTTGACCTATAAACCAACCTGTAGGTTTTTGATTTATATCAAAAGCATGATAATCTCTGTTATTCTGAGGGCATGGAGGTGGACACCTCTATTGCCTTCCTTGCTTGTATTTATAAATTCCCTGCAGAAAATTATTTCATCCCTGTTGGGTACAGTGACAAGCTGAAGACGATGATCTGCAGCTTTCTAGCTGAACCACAGTAGATAAAACTATGTATTTGCTTAGCAGGTTAACAGAAGAGCTTAATTACTTCTGTGTGATAGTCAAAGTCTCCTTGCAAAGCAATGTGGCAGAATTCCGGGTTAACATCAATAGGAGTTTTTAACACAGTTTGAGTGTATTAGTATATAACCCAAATCATCAATACAAAGCAAGGCATCCTCTCTCTATAATTTATTGCCAGAGTGAATTGCAGTGGAGGCTTTTGTAGATGGTTTGCAATATTTTCAGTCATCTTATTGAATATAAATGTTCTAAAGTATAGAATATTACTGTGGAATAATTGACTAATGATTTTTGTGTCCCTCCCCTTTTGTTTGCCAAAATTGAGACAACTGCTTAGTGCTGAATTTTAAAAAAGAGAGACTTTGTAAAAACCCTGGCTTCTATTAGGGCAGCGTTGAAATGAGTAACCGAAAAACTTAAAATTAATAGCAGATATGTATCTCAGTGAGTTACAATACAGAATAAGAATAATTCACATTAACTTCAGAAGGGAGTTGTATGGTTTCTGCAGAAGAAGAGCTTGAGATCTGTCACGTCAAACATAGCTGTAAAATGCTGAATTCAGTGGGCTAGTAGAAAACTGATCTCTGTCTTTATGCATATGCTTTGCTGCAGACACGTAGGTGGGAAAGCCTAGAAGACAGAATTCAGGTAGGATGTATGAAGTGTTAGTCTGTTGGACTAAGTCAAACATTAATAGAAAATACAGATTGCTTCTCTAAGCACAGGCAATAGGTGGTGTTCAGAACAGGCAGTGTGCAGCTGAGTATAGGTTCTGGTAGGGATTTTTTTGTCTGAGTTTTTGGTGGTGATGGAGGGTTTTCTTGGCTGTGATTTTTTTTTTTTTTTTTAATATAATCTAACTTGGCTTGGGAGGCAAAGCTCAAAATGAGATCATTAGAAACAAAATAAGTCCTAACAAAGGGCTGTTTAAAGTCGCTGTTTGTTTTCAGACCCAGTTGACTGCTGCTAAGAACCGTTCCGTGCTCAATATGCCAAACTGTATGGACATGCTCCACCTCACAGCAGCCCCACGCATGGTTCAAGAGGCTGCTGGGCTTTTGAAATGCAGTCCTTTAACTGTGAAGTGGAAAATCAAAATGGGGTAATTAGAATCATAAATACGAGATTTTTTGAGGAGGAGCGTTATTCCTTCAGCCCATTTTCCCAACTTTTACGTACAATAGTCTTCAGTTTCCTTGTTCGTAACTTTTTTTTTTTTTTAATGAAACATTTCTCTAGCTTGCTTGCTTTTCTTCTTTTGACTGTGCCTGTAGGATTTCTTATTTCTCATTCCACTCTTTCTTACAGATGCCCCTGCTTAGCACAGGGGTGCATTATGCCATCCATGCACACACCCTGATTTTCATGAATAGTGTTGCTGTGATTCATCCCAGAAGTCGTCTGTGTTTTAGTACTTCACTGCACCCCTCTATTTTGAAGACCAAACTGGAAGACTTCTGGGTTCAAATTGTCCCTATAAGATTTTCAGTAGTGCTTGGTTTGGATGAAACCTAGATTTTTCAATGGCATAAGCTTCTTTCAGTCTTTCTAAAAGTTGAAGATATACACATTGCTGTAAGAACAGTGTTATCAGACAATCTAAAAAATTCAGAATATGGGCCTGAATTTTAAGTCAAGGTCTGTGTGTGATTTTTACAGTGTGTACTCTGTGTATCTTCCTTGTGTATCCTTTTTAAATATAAATGTAAATTACGTTTACGCGTATTTAAGATATATGTAAGAAGATTTGATAGGAAATTTTCATTCAGTTAGTACACCCCTGAATTTGTGTTGTCAAAAGGCTTACATTATTAATGCTCAAATGTTTAATTGCTTAACTATACCAGATCTGCAAACCTAGAAAGATTCTTACAACGTGACTATAACACTCCGTTGTTCACATGGGTGAAGTTTTATAAACACAGACAGTTTGGCTTGCTAGCAAGTTGCTTTGTTGTATTGTATTTTATTTTACTTTATTTTTTTATCAGTTATGGTTGATAATGACATGCAGATGATTATTCCTTAAAAGCTAAGTTGACAATAGCTTGTATCGGGAGACATTCTATCTTCTTACAGTCTCTTGCAAATACAAAACCAGATGGGTATTTTTTTAAAGGAATTGCATTTCATTATGCAGTCTTAGGTGAATTTTCATGTTTAAGAAGCCAGAATACAAGAGAGTGCTATATTAGTGCATTATTCTCACAACAAACAAGCCACTGTTCTGTTGCTACCTGCTTGGCCATTGTTCCCAATTGTGTATGCTTTGCAGTGGTATTTGGATGGTTTCCTGCTCTCTGCCAGCACAAAAAAGGCATTTCTGTTACAATGGCCCCTAACCACACAATGACGGCATTAAGGATTTATTTGGAGGTTTCATTATTTTCTCCTCTTTTGTTCCTTCCAGGATGTCTTCCAAGCGACCAGCCTCTCCGTATGGGGAAGCAGATGGAGAGGTAGCCATGGTGACAAGCAGACAGAAAGTGGGAGAAGAGGAGAGTGACGGGCTCCCAGCCTTTCACCTTCCCTTGCATGTGAGTTTTCCCAACAAGCCTCACTCTGAGGAATTTCAGCCAGTTTCTCTGCTGACGCAAGAGAACTGTGGCCATAGGACTCCCACTTCTCAGCACAACACAATGGTAGGTTTGCTAATGGTCTATTGTGCTTACATCCATTCTTTGAATTCTGCCTCTACAGTAGTTTGGCATCCAGATCTGTACTTTACGGAGTATACAATGCACAGTTACACGTACAGAACACGCTACAATACTGTGAAAGCCTTGACCTAGCTGGGCTGCCTTTACCCTCCATGACAAATGCTAAATCGCTTGCAGTGCAGACTTCTCCTCACCTTTGCCTGATGGCATTTAGGGCGCTAAAATTTGTTAGCTGCAGTGATGTGAATTTGAAGTGTATGTGTTCAGCAAACAGTAAAACGGTTTTGGAACACTCTTAGTGAGAGTCACGTTTGGCATGGTGTCTGAAATATCACCCCAATGCCAAGTTTATGCAGTGGTAAAGCACGAGAGTCTGTATAAAGGGTAAAAAAGAAACTTTGAATTTTGATGGTTTTAAAAATTCACATCTGTTGTGTAATTCACATGCCACAGATACATACAAGAAAATTTGCTGTGCTTACAGAATTAAATCAGCATACTACTTTTGCACTTAAGAATTTCCCCCTTTTTGTGCACTCTAGAAATTACACTGAGCACTTAATTCCTTACATTTAGCAGCTCACTGGAAGTCCAGAACTGGCTGTATCTAAAAGGAGACAAAAAGAACAAAAAGCCATGCCATGTTCCTCACTAGTATCGTAGTGTCACTCTTGTAATGTGGGCCCTTCAGGGGGAGTACTGTGATTCAATTTTAGGAAGGTCGAAAGGTGCAGGGGGAGGCAGTGGAACCCCAGAACTGAGGCACCTCGACAAAGCTGTCTGTTGTGAACACGCTCGCACAGCTCTTGCCTGTTTACAAATTGACTGTAACTTTTCTGTGAGTCCCCCACTTTGACAAGGGCACTGACAATTTCACTTTAAGTGAAGATAATGAATGGACCTGCATATTTGAAGGCTTTTAAAAAGGCATTGCAAAATAGGTGATAGTGTATTCTCATAAAAGCCTGCAACAGCTCCATAGTGGTATTAAAGCCCTTACAACTCATTATGCATATGTAATAAGCCCTAAGTAAAAAGCCTTAGGGATTATTATTTCTCATAGGACCAAGTCACTGGATATTCACTGAAGCTGCTCTCCTAGACAAAATAACTCACTGATCCTGATCCATTTTTCTTCCTTTTTTGGGCTAATGCTTAAGTTCAAACAGTGGGTTGGAATATTTAATTTTTACTTTGTGTTATTGCGACTTCACATGAAGAAAGAACAGCATTGGAGAAATTACTCATGGGCAGACATGTCATTATCTTTTTCAAGCTTGTTTACTTCCCATCCTTTATCTTATGTTTTGTGGAGATGGAATTCATTAATACACAGTTCCAGCCAATGGGATGTTGGGGTATGTAACTGGTCTGTGAGCTTTGCTGTATTTTGGCGTATTTTAAGGGAGTGTGTTGAAGATAAGAAGTAGTTTCTGACAACATGTAAGTAATAGATAAAATTGTGATGGCACCAGCAGTGTAGAATCAGACCCTATTGAAATAAAAACCTACTGTTTTTTAAGGAAGCCAGCAGAAGTATTTTAACTACACCTCACTGAAACACTTAGCTGCACTTTAATTGATTTTAACTAACTTTTTAATTAATTTATAGTTTTTAAGACCAAGAAGTTTAGCTGAGCATCTAGTGTGACCTCCTGCTATGAAGGCTGTATTTAATGTGATGTCAAAACAGTGTGTTCTGACTCTTTGTAATACAAGATACTGAATCATTGTGTGTTTTAGGCAATTTGGCTGTAGCAGCGACATATTGTAGGCTTATCTGAGGCATTTTTTGGGGGGTTATAAGGACCTACTTTTGTCTTCATACATATTTAAGAAAATTGCCAGTTTGTATGAGTGTGACATTTTGCCAATGTCTCTCTTTTAGTGAGTAATGTCTTGTAAAAATCATCACCCAGGTAGGTCAGAAAGGATGTAACCTATGTGTCTCCAGAAAGAAGGAAGTGATCCTTGTAAATAAGATATACACAAAATATACATAATCACACCCTCTGCTATTGTGGTGTGTAGTTATAAGAAGGAAGTAACCGAATAACCTCTGGATGGCTTCAATTTGTGTGATTACCAGTTATGAAAATCATTCCCAAAGGGTATTCACTTTGTTAGCATTGCAGAGGTCATTTTTATACTGTTTGAATTGACATTCTTTGTAACTTATAAGTCTCTGGGAAGCAAATCCGGGTTTATGCACATGTGCACACACCACCACAGAGTGCAGTCCAATACAGTTTTATTGATAAAGCTCCAGCAGCGTCCTTCACACTTCTTAATAGCTTGTCAGCTGCACTGCTGCACCTTCTGACTGAGCCGGCGAGTGACTATAGAGTTCTTATTATGCAGCCACATGGCTATCTTTGGCAGGGTACACCTTTACAGATCTCTCCAGTGTCACATGAGAAGGTTTCAGAGGTGCAGGCAGTCTGAAATTGTGCAGTGCATCACTCTGCTGCACCTGTCTAAACCTTACTGCTTTGTGCGTGATTGTCAGCTAAGACTCTTCTCCGGAGGGATTCTTAGGTAGTCATGGTATAGATCCAGAGAGGTCTTGCTCTGTTAGCTGCATGTACAACACCCATTTGGTTTAGGGAACAGTCTCAGCAGAAGAAAGCCACAGCCAAGGGATTTGGAAAAGGTATGGAATTACAAAGCTTTGTCATATCTTTATTCCTCTTGTCACCAAAGCCAAGCCGACCGCCTCATATTGTGACTCTCAGCAATGAGTCATGAAGGGACAGTTGGGAAAAGAATTTGAACCTTGAGAATCAATTACTTGGCCTCACTTTTCTAGGTGCTAATTGATCCTCTGTTTCATAGGTTACTTCCAGCTGTGCTTCCTTTCACAAGTCCTGGCAGCCTGGAACAGCCTAGGATCCTTAAGGTACAGGGCTGATTGCAGAACAGTTAGAACTGAATGGTTTACCCAACTTAGACTTTTGAAAATTGACTCTGTTGCACTTTACCAAGTTACAACAACTGCCAACTCAGGCATCTCAGAATACTGAATAAATGTTTATGAAAGGAGGACAAAATTCCTGGAAATAAACCTTAAAACCTAACCAAAATTTGCAAAAAATCTGCAAAGCCCATCTTCCCGTCAGGATGAACAGGGTATTTCTGAGGATGCTGAAGCTGCAGCCAGTGTACTGGGCACAGTCAGTGCCAGTGAAACTGCAGTTAGTGTAGCGGGCACAAACTGAAACACAGGAAAGTCCCTCTGAACATCAGGAAAAGCTTTTACTGTGGGGGTGACTGAGCATAAGAACAGGTTGTCCATGGAGGTTGTGTAGTCTCGCCCCTTAGAGATATTCAAATACCATCTCAGCATGGTCCAGAGCACCTGACTCTCAGTGGCCCTGCTTGAGCTGGGGGATTGGACCAGATGTCCTCTGGAGATTCCTACCAGCCTCAACCAAGGCAGAGGCAATCTGTCCCAAACTGCCTTCCTCTTGGTAGAAGAAACCAGATACTTATTTAAATAGGAAAACTGTTCTGCTGATAAGATAAGAAATTTATCAGACTTAAACCAAAGGCTCAGTACAAAATAACAAGACAAATAATTTGACCTGGAATGTATCTGAGATCCCCCTTAGGATGTTCATAGCAGGCCATAAGCTTAGTAGGGAAACACTTGAGGATTACAGTATCAATCAGTAGCTCTTTTGAAGAAAGCTGTTAAGGCTACAGAAGGTTTATTTTACTTCTGTTTATTTGACTTACCATTTTGCTTGTGCCACCTCTCAAGACTACTCATCTCACCAGTGGTGTCTCTGTGCTAATTTCTGAAAATATGAGATGTCAAGGCTGAAAATACTGATTAAAGTAGGCCACGGGCATGGTATGTTCAAATCCCACTGTTCTTTTTAACTATAGAATATCAGTAAAATGCCGGATAAGATTTTAAAAAAAAAAAAAAAAAAAAACAAAACCAAAAAACCCCAACCAAAAGAAAAAGGAAGTACTGATCCAACTGTTACAAGGTAATTTTACCACTGTCCAGTTGTTGCAAACTGTGTGTCTGCACTGCTAGCCCACGTTTGTCCTGCATTTTCAGTCCCTGCATGGGATTTAGAATTAATTTTCAGCAGTGCTTTAAACTGATAGGAAATATGACCGTGCACTGTTAAGTAGCCTTGTTGCTTCACACTAAAAGATTTTGCATTTCTGTGGTGAGTGAAGTTATTCCTCCATAACTTGGAAATAATATTAAGAAAGCTTGGTCATATTAAGGATAACAGTATTAGTGGTCTCCTGATGTACTGCTTCATGCTTTTCCTACACTTGTCCAAAATAAAAGGGTCTGTAATGCTGAACTGGAATTCTCTTATCACATCCATCCTGGCCTGTGCTTCACCTGTTGGTCTGGAGTTTGTCAGCATGTGAATAGTAATGAATCAGAACAACAAGTGGCTGGAGCACTTAGCTACTACTCAGAACTTCCGAAGAGAATGGAAATCTGAATGCATATAGCTTTTTAAAAAGTCAAATAGGACTCTAATTATACTGAGCTAAAGAATGCCTATTAAAAAAAAAGAAACACAGTGGTTTTAGAGAAATTTTAATTTCCAGTGTACCTTTGTGCATCAAGCTTAGGATAAGTTATTGTGATGATACAATGCACAGTGTTGTGAACACCAGTGCCGTTACTGTGCCAGCTCTAATAATGAGAATTTCATTGTTTGGGGAGAGCAGTCTCCTACACTCTAGACAAAAGTGTAATTACTTTTGAACGATGTGGAATGTGCTCAGTTTAATAGCACAGAGAATAGATTCACAAAGATTCAGATAAAGCTAGCTTGGAAGCCATATGTGCAATGTGGCAGTATGAAATTGTTAGCAGGCACCATAATTACAACACACACACACACACACACTCACAATTTCACAGTTTAAACTATAAACTGTTGTTTTTGTAAGAGTTAGACAGGCTTATCTGAACAGGACTAGTTCAAGTAAAACAAAGC